TTTTATTTATTTTATTTTCATTTATTTTAATTTTTTATTTTAATTTTATTTTTATTTTATATCAAATTTAATTTAAAACACTAAAATTAACTAAGGAGAGATTGAAATATTTTTTAAAATTTAATCTAATTTTTTTTAAGTTTATATAGTAGAATGAAATATTTTTCCTTAAAACAACACTATATACCGGTTGGACTATATAGTAGATTGAAATAATTTTCTGTAAAAAAATTAAAATTATTATTTTAAGTGATATAAAATTTAATATGAATAAAATATTAACATATAAAGTAAATTTGTGGAACCCAATATGAGTTCTTCAGAATTGCACCATTGGAGTGAAAAATTAGTTGCGTTGCTTCAAGCTGACGTGGCTTAATAGGTCCCACAAAGAACCCAAAAATGAGTTCACGGTTGGAGATGCTCTTATAGTAAACTCTTAGAGATAAAGAGAATGTTTCATTTCCAACACAAATTACCCACCCCATCAATAAAAGAAGATTATATTCATATCCCTACTATTGTATTTTCATTCTATAAATTTTAAAATTATTAAATTTACTCTTTTAAAATAGGTTTTTTCACCCTACATAAATTTTTCGAAAATTTATGTGACTTATTCTATGATTAAATCTTTTTTTTTTTTTATGAATGAAATTAAATTGAAATATATTTAAAAAAGAATCCTAAAAAATTACCCGCTAAAAAATTTATATGCTGATAATTTTTATATTACTCGCGACTTAATGTTTAATAAAAGAAAATTGTTAAAAACGACACACTTGCGATGTGTATTTTTTTTAAATGACTTGTCTATTTAAAGTTTTAATAATAAATTCATAATAAAATGTCATTTCAATCATTTATATATAAAATAAAAAATAAAACAATATTTTTGAAAAAATAAACTGGATCAAATATTTTACAAAATCGTTTCATCTCTTTTTAAAATCAAAACTGTTGAATGAATTTGAACTTCATTATCAACATCTAATTGAAAAGATAAATATATTTACGTTAGAATTAAATTAATAATGATTAACTAAAATATACATATTTAAAAAATTATAATATTGAATTTAGTCGCAGAAACTAAATATATATAAAATAAAATTATGGTTTTTGTGTTTGGAATATTTGAATCTATTGAAAAAATTCTTTTGACAATAATTTTAAAATTTAAAAGTTGATGGTTTTTGTGATTTTTTTCAATAAGTATTCCTTATACTTCAATTTTTTTTTCATATGAAAAGAAGAATAATTTATTAATCTACAGAATATTGAAGACCATAGACTATATATAGTGTGATAGCAATTAGGATTTCTATTATTCTCAAATGAATCATCCTAACCTCCACTTATATTTGACCTCATATTCAATTATTTAATTAATTAATTAAATAATTTTTAAATAAAATTTAAATAGCATTTTTAACATTATTTGGTCACTTAATTATTTAAAAATATTTTATTAATAAAATAACTAATATATATATATATATATATATATATATATATATATATATATATATATATATATATATATATATATATATATATATATATATATATATATATATATATATATATATATATATATATTCCCATAATTATTAAAATACTAATATAATATTAAATTATTAAAATATTCCAAACACATATGAGCATCAATCAATTTATATGTCAAATTAAAAAAAAAATTAATATAATAAAATTTTATTTTTAAATAATGAAACTGAACATGAATGAGATAAGATTTTATTATGGACTTAGGGACTTTATTCACGTATGATTCTACCCACGCTTAACATTTGTTAAACTACGGACTATTAATAAAAAGAATTATCAAAGCTTAATTCGCAGGTAATACTTTTTAGGATTTTTTTAATTATAATTTTATCCACAAAAAATATAGATTTATTCATGAATAAGTTACAGGTAAATTTTCGAAAATCTTTTCTATAAGTTATCCGTTAAATAAATTTATCCACAAAAACATAAATTTGTCTACAAATATATCATACTTAAAGTTTTGGAAAATTGTTTTTTACAAATTATATGATAAATAATTCGGAAAAATTAGTTATTTGGTAAATAATTTTACTCACAAAATCTTAAAAGAATAAGCTGCGGATAAGTTTTAGAAAAATTTTAATAAAAAAAATACGGAAAACTAGTATAGAAGTTAAAAAACTCTATATTTAAAAAGAATAAATTTGACATTTTTTTAGATTTTATAAGAATAAGATATAATTATTGTAGGAGTATATAATCTTTTGAATAAAATCATATTTTTTATTATGGCTCTCTCTAGGAAATCACAATTTCAAGCTTATAACTTATAAGCTCATAAGCTCATATGTAATTTAGATCTATTTGATGACAGTTTTTTTTATCACAAATTTATAATTTATTTTACTAATTTATAGTTTATTTTTCAGATGTTATTTCAAAAACTCTTGAATTAGTTATCATCTTTTCTTTCATTTTTATCTTTATTATTTTAACAAAAATTCTTTTTATCCTTTATAATTTATTTTAGTTTAAAATCAAATAAATATGTATTAAATATATTTTATGTCATTTTACATTATAAGTTAGTTAAACGGTTAATTTTACCAAACACTTGAATTAGTTTATCAGCTATCAGTCATCAACCATCCACTATAAATTATAAGTTATCAGTGATCAGCCATCAGCTATCAGTCATAAATTATAAGCTAACTTATTAACCGTTATTTTCGTTAAATAGAGTCTAATTTTTAAATATTTATTTACTCTTTTTTATTAGTTAAATATTACTTAAAATAACAATATTTTTTTGTTTGTTTATTTTTTAATTTTTAGCGGAAATGTGTTTAAAAGTAAATGTGAAAAAAAAAATCATATTGAATCCTATAATGTCAATTTTCCCGTCGAAAACCTTCAAGATTAAAATTGGTATTTTAACTCTTACCATCATTAATTTATTTTATTTTTATTTTTTTACCAACCACCCCACCACTAATATTTTTTAATTAATTATTTATTTATTTATTTTTAATTTAGTTAATTAATTAAAATTTATTTATTTTTATTAATAACTAATATAAATAATATTATGAAAATAATGTATGATATAACTTCTCCTAATTAGAAATAATGAATTTATGTTAAACATATTTTTAAAAAATAAAAATAAAAATGCTCTAAGTAACATAAAATCAAGTTTGGTAAGTTTTTAACAATTTAATTAAATTGAGTTTTTTTTGGGTGCATCAATAATTTAATATCATTCAATTTGTGTTGTTTTTTTTATCAATTAAATATATTTTGGATTCAATATTTTGAGACTTTGTTTCATTTTTAGATCTTTCAATTTTCTTTTATACTCATTTTTTTATTATGATTTTTTTTTAAAAAGAGATAGAGAGATTGGGACAGAATATGAGTACCCTTTGGATTGTTATGGGGGGTTTTAATAATGTCTTGACCAGGCAAGACAGAACTGGTGGCAATGATGTTACATAGGTAGAATTCAGGAATTTAGTTAGTATGATGCTGAATGTTTGTCTGTATGAAACTAACACAAGAGGTAGTCATTTTACCTGGACAAACAAGCACATTGGAGGAGTAATATACTCTATAAATGATCGAGTTATTGGTAATGCTGAGTGGTTTCAGAAGTATCAAGATACAATTGTTGAAAATTTATCCCCAAACATTTCAGATCACCATCCTGTGAAGATTGGTAGTAATGTGTATAAGGCCATTTTCAGAAGTGTATTTAAATTTCTCAACTGTCAGGGCCTTCATTTCTGCAAGTGATGACTACTAGCTGGCAACAAGAGACACATAGTATACCTATGCATAGGTTGTGGCTCAAGCTGAAACGGTTGCAACCTCTTCTTAGGAAGATGAACAGAAGGTACTCGGATATTCACCTCCAAATTAAACAGGCCAGAGATGAGTTGCATCAAGCCCAACATCAACTCTAAAAGAACTTGTTTAGTGAGCAATACATTGAACATGTTAAGCACTGTACGGAGAAAATTATGCAACTGAACTAGGTGAAGGAAAACATAATGATGCAGGTGGCAAAATTCAATTGGTTGCAACTTGGAGATAATAAAAACGCTTTCTTCCATGCCTCGATGAAGGATAAAAATAAGCAAAAAGGCATATATACTCTAGTTTCACTTGAAGGAGAATTACTGAGTAGTCAGGCTGAAATTGAACATGAAATCCTGGGATTCTATCATAAACTGGTGGGAACTAATACTACTAAACTGAGAGGGATTGACATTCCTATGATGAGACAAGGAAAAGGATTATTTAGAGAGCATACACATCAATTAATAACACCTATTGAAGACAAGGAAATTTGGAATGCACTATGTAGCATTGGGAACAATAAAACTCCTGGAATGGACGAATTTAATGCTTATTTCTTTAAAGCAACTTGGCAGATAGTGAGGTATGATGTAAAGGCAACTATTTTGGAATTTTTTGAAATAAGCAACCTCTATCAAGCTATCAACTGTTCCTTAGCGACGTTGATTCCAAAGTCTACTGATGCAAAAATTATAAGAGATATGCGACCTATATCCTGCTGCAGTACAATGTACAAAATAATATCTAAAATTCTTATAGCAAGAGTTAGAAGGGTGATCAGTAGTATTGTTGCAGATAATCAGTCTGCATTTGTTCCCGACAAAAATATCCAAGACAATATCATGTTAGCTCAGGAACTGGTGCGTGGCTACAACAGGAAAAATGTTTCCCCTAAGTGTATGATCCAGCTTGATATTCTGGAAGCGTATGATATGGTTAAATGGCAAGCCTTGTCTCAAATTATGGTTGAAATGGGTTTTCCAAAAAGATTAACCAATTGGACAATGGCATGTGTATCTACTATCTCTTGTAGATTCTCTCTAAATGGAGCACCTACAGGTATCTTGAAAGCTAAGAGAGGGTTGAGATAATGAGACCCTATCTTTCCCCTTCTCTTTGTGCTAATTATGGAATACCTTCACAGGTTGCTTCAAGGGCTGCACTTGAATCCTAATTTCAATTTTCACCCAAAGTGTGAAAAACTTAGGATCATTAATCTTTGTTTTGCAGATGATATCTTAGTTTTTACTCGTGGAGACTTGGAATCTGTGAAGCTGGTTATGGACAGATTCAGGATTTTTGCTAATACAATTGAGCTGAACATTAGTAATCCAAAAAGTAAACTGTATCTTGGTGGTGTGGACATGGATACTAAAACAATTATGCAGCAGGTAACAGGTTTTGAATTGGGGAGCCTACATTTTAAATACATTGGAGTTCCTCTTCACAGCAAGAAACTTTCGATAGCTAATTTCCAGCCTCTAATAGAAAAAAAATTCTTAAGAGAATTCAACATTGGAGTACCCGATTGTTGTCATATGCTGACAGATTACAATTAATTAAAAGTGTGATGTTTGCAATATCTAACTATTGGATGCAAATATTTCCTTTACATAAGAAGATAATTAGACATATTGAAGGATTATGTAGACGATTCCTCTGGACAGGCAAGGAAGGTGATAGCAAAAAAGGTCCAATTTCATGGGACCATGTTTGTGATCCTATGGCAGCAGGTGGAAGAAACATGATCTCTCTATTTGAGTGGAATAAAGCTACCATTGGAAAACTACTTTGGAATATTTTGGAGAAAAAAGATAAACTATGGATCAAATGGATGCATGCTTACTATCTGAAACAAGTGGACCTAACCCACGGTTCGTGGATGTTGAAGGCCATATTCCAAAATCAAGATGATATGGTCAACTCTGAGACTTGGAAGAATTTTCAAAAAGCTGGGAGATATAGCATCAGGGAGATGCATCACATGTTAAGAGGAATGAAACCTAAAGTGGAATGAAGGAAGTTGCTCTTCAAAAACAAAGCGAGACCTCGAGTCGTCTTCATCTTATGGATGGCCTATAACAGAAGATTACTCACCAAGGATAGAATGATGAAATTTGACATGACATCAGATGGTTTATGCGTGTATTGTAGCATGCAGGAGAGCCTAGACCACCTATTTTTTCATTGTGATTTTACAAAAGTCTTATGAGAACATGTGCTAGCTTGGCTGAGAGATAACCATAACTCGGGTGGTTGGACTATGGAGCAAGGATGGATTATTCAACAAACTAAAGGAAAGAACAACAGGAGCAAATTAATAAAAATGTTGGTTGCTGAATTAGTTTACCATGTATCGACTGTAAGAAACAACATATTTTTCTAGGGATGGGACAAATCGAAACTTCAAAGCAAGACTGTTATTGATATGGTGCTGAATAGAGTAAGGATGGATAAGAAATTAGCTAGATTCTGCAATATAGGTCTGAGTTAAAAAAACTTTCTTTCTTTTTTGTTGTCTTGTTCATTGGATGTATGGACTGTGAGGAACAACATATTTTTTCAGGGATGGGACAAATCGAAGCTTCAAAGCAAGACTGTTATTGATATGGTGCTGAATAGAGTATGGGTGGATAAGAAATTAGCTAGATTCTGCAATATAGGTATGAGTTAAAAGGGCTCATTGAAGGCCTGGATCGATTGTGATTGGCTTGTAGTTGACATTTTTTTGCTGAATATATTCTCTTATTTCCAGAAACAAATAATAATAATAATAATAATAATAATAATAATAATAATAATAATAATAATATTATTATTATTATTATTATTTATTTATTTTATTACTTAATTATTATTATTTATAAAAAAATATTATTTATAATTATTAATTTATAATTAAATAACATAAAATTGCATCCTATTAAAATCATTATAATGTAACTCCATGTGAAAGACAACATATTCCCAAGTTCAATAAAACATATAAAACAAGATAGTAATAAAGCAAGATAGTTTTTTTTTAGACCCATAAATATATTTAGCCTCATGTTTCTCTTTTATGACTTTAAAGTATAAATGAAAAGAATTCATGCTAACGGTTGCATTAGAGACACCTTTTAAGGATTTTAAATTAAAATATATATATTATTTAAATAAATAAATAATTTCTATTTTCAATGCATTAAATATAAATATTTAAAAAAACATTTCTTTTTCTTTTTTTTAAAATTTAATTATTTGAATATCCAATGCATTGAATACAACTATTTCTAACAAAAACATATCATTGACAATCTTTAACATTTCTCATAAAAAAATGATAAATTCTTATCTAATTTTATAAATATTGAATGTTATAATATATATAATTTTAATTGAATTTAAACTTTTATATTGTTTACATTTTTATAAAAAAATACAATTATTATGAAATATTTCAATTATTTTTTTAAATATATATTTATTAATAGTAGTTTAATAAAATTTACCGTGCATATAAGGTATTTACCATGCTCTTATATATTTGTTAGTATGATAGAAAATTTAAAGCTATGTAGTTTTTAGATATAAAATATTATTTGTTGGTTGATGTTAAAGAAAGTGTTTTAGTGATAATAAGGAGAAATGTTATAGTTGTTTGATTTGATTAAATGAAAAGATATTAAATGTGAAAACAATTTTCTTTAATAATATATTGGAAAAACAATTTTAAAACAAGTAAGTTATGTAGCTTGTGTCCCAACAACTTAAAGATTAAAAATATATTCATCTAATTAACTATTAAATTGTTTTTTATTTAAAAATGAATTTTTAAAATGAGCAAACAATGCAAAATTGCACTTTAACAAATCAAAAATCAAACCAATGTTTATTTGATCAATCTCTTTTATAATGATTTATTTGTTACTAATTTATCGGCTTAATTGTAACTTTAATCCTTTTATTATTTTTTTTATTAAATTTTAATCTATTTATTTTAAATTTTGGAATTTTAGTCCTTTTTTTAAATTTTATTTTAGATTTTAATCTCTCATTTAAATGTTATTTTGCATGACATGACAGTTGAGTTGATGATGTGACATGATTTAGTAAAAAAAAAACAATTTCCACTTCATTTATAAATATCATTTTATTTAAATAATATATAAAAATATTAAATTAAAAATTAAAATCTTCATAAATAAATAAATAAAATCTTCATATCTTCATCTTCATAAATCAATGCTTCGTATCTTCATCCCTTTATTTTTGATTTGTTTATTTGTTTTCTGTTCATTAGCTACATTTGAAAGCTAAAGAGAGATTTGTTTTTTCTCTTTTCTATTTCGTGTGAGAGAGATGATGAAGTGTGAGATTTGAAAAAATTATTATTAATTTTGACTTATTCAATTTTGTTATTTACTCATATTTATTTATTCTTTGTAGAAAAATTTAAAAAAATAAAGAAATTGAAGATTTGATTTGATTTAGAAAGATTTGAGAAAAAAATTTAGAAAAATAAAGGGATGAAGATATGACGAATTGATTTATGAAGATGAAGATATGAAGATTTTATTTATTTATGAAGATTTTATTTTTTAATTTAATATTTTTATATATTATTTAAATAAAAAATAATTATGAATGAAATAAAAATTATTTTTTTAACACTGAATCACGCCACATCATCAATTCATCTGTCCTATCATAAAAAAAAATACTAAAATGAGATGGAGGACTAAAATTTAAAATAAAACTTAAAAAAAAATAAACTTTCAGATTTTAAAATAAAAGAGTCAAAACTCAAAAAAATAAAAAATAAAAAAACTAAAATTACAATTAAACCTAATTTATTTAAAAGCTAATTTAAGAACATTCAAGTGGTTGAACTTGTGCCTTAATATCTCAAAAAAAAAAATTTATAATCAAAAAATGGAATTAACTAGAGCGCGGTGCTCTGACCCAAACCAACAATACAACATGTTTAAAAAAACAAAAGTCAAGTAAGACTTTCAAAAGCAATAAATAAATCTTGAAAATTACAATTATGATTAATTTTTCTACTTAATAACACTCTATCTCTAAGCAATTAATTTGATTATTAAAACTATATCATTCACAATTGACTACCTCTCCTTAAAAAAGAATTTTATTCCTCTTTGTCCAAATAATATTCATCTGATCAATTTCTTTGATTAACATAATTCAAAATCTTAATTAAGTATATTTTATTAAATAAAATAGATTTAAATAGTTAGTTGATCTATGTAAGTTAACGAGTTTTTAATTTTGATCTTTATAAATTTTTTATTGTCTGAGAATGTATATTTCATTTTTTGTGATCGTTTTAGTCTTAAAACCAAAATCCGCAGGTTCTCTGCAAATTTTCTTGCAGATTTTAGTTTTAAGACTAAAATACACGCAAAAAATGAAATATAGGAATTCGAAAAAAAAATAGAGAAACTAAAATAAAAAATTCACTGACTTATAGAGACAAAAAATACATTTAAACTAATAAAATATTATTTTATGATCATAAAATCATCATAAACAAACTCAAGTGTTTTATATGTCATCGAACAACATTATATTTTAGTTCATAAGGGAAAAATTATTTGTATATTAAAATTTTAAACCTTTAATTTAAAAATTAATTATTCATTTATTTAATATTTAAATTAAGTTTTAACCTAATACTTCATTTATAAATAATCAAATAAAAAAAGAAGTAATACAAGTGATTATTTATTTAACATTGAATAAGTATCATATTGTAACCCATAAAAATTAAATAAAATAAATAAGCTAATATATAACAAAATAAAAAAATATTTTTATTTTAGATGGTTAAATGGGCCAACATGCAATTAGTCAAATGGGCTTAACAACATAATACAATGGGCCTCCACATAAAAACAAAACACTCAGCTCCTAACCATTTGGAATTTTGAAAAATAAAATAAATAAATAAATAAGAGCAAATAAAATAGGTGATGAATAAGTTAAGTCACTAATTAAATTTTTTTTTCAATTTGAATTGAAAAATAAATAGATTAAATATACACGGATGAAATTAAGCTATTACTATTAAGAGAAACCCCAAAAGAAAAGGGGGATTGTATAGAAACCAAACAAAATGGTACGAATTACGAAAAGTGATATTAAGAGAAACCCAACTTGTCTCTTAAAACCTCATCCTTTATAAACAACATAATCATATCCCACCAATATAAAGAAGTTAATGAGTGATTAAAGTTAGCAAAGTTATCAACCCAGGTGTTACCTTCAAAAAAGATATGAGACCAAACTACATTCACACCCAACATATTGTTTCCCCACCTATTTCGAAGATTCCATGACACTATCTACGACTTCTTAAAAACTCTAATAGCAACCACTGATTCACTCTTAATCCAAATATTATGCCAACATCTATAAACCACTATCCCAATTTCTAGAATGCTAGTCATTAGCTCAACATACAAAAATAAAGTGTAGGGAAGATTTGTAGCAAACTCACCCAGAAAATTGTTGGGGGAGGTTTTTACTAGGGAGCATTGAATATTATGGGATTTCT